GGGGGGGGGGGGGGGGGAGAGAGAGAGAGAGAGAGAGAGAGAGAGAGAGAGAGAGAGAGAGAGAGAGAGAGAGAGAATGTTTTTTTTCTATTCTTTCCCGAGTTTTTTTCTCGGGTTTTTTCTTTCTCTCACAGTACTGGTTTCAAATATGTTGCATTGAATGAAAATATAATCCATATATATTTTTACTAATATTCGATTCTTAAATGAGTACTTTTCACGCAGTTATTTGTCCTCTGAATTGTACGATCTTCAGCGTTTATGAATTACGTTTCACAGATACATGCGGATAACGTGCGCTTTATGCGTTTACGTTGACGGCCATGTCCCATCGACCGACGCCGAGGTGATAATTACGGGTTCCATTCGCGTTTACTGTATTCGTGCGTGCAATTTGCCACGTGCGCGCTTTCGGTCTCGCAGATAACGCTGCTCGTTCCAGCACCTGCGAATCATTCGACCCTCCGCCACCGCTAATCCACCGCGTGATCATTCTTTCACGTCGACTAAAGTGCCCGTGCAGTTTGATTTCGATTGGATTTTGATCAATCCCGATGATGATATCGGCTAAAACGCGACATGCGTTTAAACGCGCGAATGAAAATATGGAATGTGAGACTTTCTCGAATGGTACATTCGCGGTCTCACAAATAAAGACTACAGGCGTTCTTCATTTTATATATATATTCTGATTAGTTAAATTAATCCCATTCTACAATTACGTAAGAATTGACCAACCGCAATCGAATATTTTCCTCATATTTGACTGTGATTGGTTAATTCTTACAATTACAACCACTTACAATTACACTTATAATTACACTAATTATAGAATGGGCTTTATGTGTTATGCAAGGTTAAAGCCAGAGCATAGACTTTTACATAAAGCGTAAGAAAATCAACCACAGTCTTTTATTTCATGGAAAGGAAGGAAGTAAAGACCTTTGATTGATTCAATTTTTTATGCGTCATTCAAAACTCTGTGCTCTTATGCAAAAGTCTGTGTTGCGGCCTTAATTATCAAAACGTTGCGAAATCGCGCATATGGCTCAAATATGAACACTTTACCGGCGAATAAAAAGCATTCGCGCGGTTTACGAACCATGTGGGTGAAGTTACGAAGGAAATTGTGTTTTATATCACGTTAGGCAACTGCTGGTCGGAGCTTTTTCATTTTTACGTAAAATCTGCGATATCACTCGGGTATCCGATAACAATGTAATCGACATTTAAATGATAACGAGGCGCGATCTTCGACGTATTGGGAGGAACGCTAGATTGCCGGACAAACCGATCAATGCTGCTTATACTTTATACACGAGAGATGCGACCTATGCCATTTGTACGGCATGCATTATGGACGAAATATATGCGGATAATACGAAGCCACCGATATGGTTACGAATTCACGGATAAAGCAATCGTAGAGAATTACAATAAATCCGTGGGTAATACGCACCGTCGGGCGTTAGTTATTGCGAGTTAGCCGAAGCGCGCTCTGTTTACGCTCGAGCCCAACGCGATTCATAATGCGCACGGAGATAATGAGCAATTTGTAATATATCCGAATGTAATTTGCTACCAGGGCGCGTTACTGCGAACGTTGTTCAATTTAGCACCGTGTTTCATCGTACCTTTTGCTGTATAAAAATCTATTAGTTATTAACACACCGTGATGCATATATTTTGCAACTATCCCGCATGAGAATACTTGATAATAAATAATTTTTACATATTTTAATTAAAAGTTGAATATAATATGATTATATGTTATATTAAAACATATTAACTATTACGTGGTATAGCAAACATTTAATGTTTAGTTTTACGATCGTCTTTCAATTATGACAGGCGTGGTATTAAATTGATTATTTTAAAGACTATATACTTAAAATTAATGTTTTTATTATTTTATAGAAAACGTTAGAAGCGTGTATGTTCAATAGTATAAAGTTTATGTGTACTACGATATGTCTTTGCCGAGATTTTGTTGAAGCGACTACAGTTTTAAAGATCGATAGCAATTTTTCTCACGCTCTTTTTCCTTTGTCTCTTATTCATACGAAAGGTCATCATTTTTCGCTGCGCGACAGCCCCTTCCCTCGAGTGCGGTGGTTTACTGCTTCATTAGGTGGATAACTTTTTTAGGGGTTTTTAAAAAGCGCGAGAGTTTATGCCTGTGCTTCGCGGGAGTTTTAAAACAGTTTCGCACACACCCCTCCTAGTTGATCTCGGTGTAACGCAGTTGTGTGGTATAACTGTTCTTAGTAGCAGGAAACGAAACTTTCCAGCTTGAGTTTCCATGAAGGCGAAAGTTGACGTTTAACATTTTGCGACTCTTAAACTCTTGTAATACAATTATCCAGATTGCCGCAACATTGGTTCAATTAAATTTATCAAAATGTATATACTTCAAAATTTTGTATTCGATCAGTGTCTATTTCGCAATAACTGGAACAACCATTTATTTGATGGAAGAATTAAGAGTCTTCCATCAATAATATGACATCGTATTTATATAATAATTCTTAAAATTTGTATAAATATACAATTTAAAAAAGTTCTTACTTATCTTTTTTTCATGTATGCTGTAATTTTAATTATTCCAGAACATTAAATGCCACGATTTATGTTTAGTAAAATCTTTAAGTATATATATATATATAATCAACGCGTTCTAAAATTTTTCTTCAGTTTTGATAAAATTCATTACGCTTTGATTTTTCAAATGCAGACTGAATAATATTTGCCTTTTTTTTTGCATATACACCAGTTTTGATAGCGACAAGAGAAGAAATGATGAGATAAATGATGGAGAAAGTAGGGAAGACAGGAAAAGTCTGGGACAAAGCGATGAGCAAAAGGCGCTAAAATTCTCAATTACATTAACTTGATTCCGGTCGGTCCCCGTGTCACGGTGCTTGGAAGAAGGGATTAGTTAGAGAACCGCTATTGGATTAGCGAATCCGTCGGCTCATCTGATTTACCTTTTCTGAATCGTCCTGGACAAGTATCATCAAACTATTGCCTTCGTTCAAATTCTTTGAGTGACATTGCAATGAAAAATGGTATATTCTTTCCTACACAAATATAGATACGAATGATTTCAAATAATCATGAAATATGATTTGAAATGGTCAAAAGTTTAGAAAGTATAAAGCAACAATTCATTTTTGTAAAATGAAAATTACAAATGCAGTCACCAAGAAAGAATGTCATTCTAAAAAAAATATTCTGCTAATAAGGGGAATTCCTCTTAACATTTCCTTTATAAGCAAAACATCTTACATTAATCAGGTGCGTGTATTTATAACACGTATTTATTTATAAAAATGAGGACACATAAGCTCTATGATCAAAAATAAATTCAGAAGATTATTCGAGTTATTATAATAGAAAATTCTATTATAATAACTCAAATAACCTTCTGAAATAAGAGGATATACAAAATACTAGCGGTATTTGTTAGAAGAAGTTTGTCATTTACGTGTTATTGTAGTACATGTCAGTATATGCAAGAATTCTTCTAGTATTGAGAGGATTACAATCCTAAATCTAGTATACTTTATGATTATACGAAATTCCTTTGTAGAGTATTCTCTTGAGGTCATATATAAATGGAAAATCCTTTGACAATAGCACGGAACAGCTAAATGACAGAATATCTTTTTGGATGCAGATGTTTGTGACAGGTCATGATGGTTTGTAATAAAGTGATTTCAAGCGATTTAGACAAATCATTGTATTCTGTGACAAAAGAATATTTGTAAAATATTTAAAAAGGAAAGAAAATACGCTTTAGATTACTGTTATTGAATTGCTTATCCCTTTTTAGTATAACCATATGTGATTACTCGTTTTTGAAATAAATTTATATAATGAAATAAACTTATAACTATATAAATATAAATATAATTTGGATATTTATGTAAAATCAATTTTTCTTAGACGTTCATAATGCCAAAAACTACTATAATTTTAGTGAAAATGTGTGATTAGAACCATTATGCAGGGATATAACTTGCCGTGCGATCCGACGGCAAATACCTACTATGACAGCGCAGCACAAACATTTCTATACAATTTCTACTAAATGTGAATATATCTTTGCATTTTAATGTTGTCACGTTGTTCGCATGTATAATTGATTGTTTAAACGAGTTAGAAATTAGAATCAAGCACAATAATTATAATTCTATACAATAAATATCTTGTCTCGTTCGATAAGTAAATAACAAAATGATGGCACGTATAATATAGTATTTCAAACAAAAGCTTACAGTATGTTTTACATTTTATATGTTTTAAAAAATATATTATGTGTCTTTAAAAATATATATCATTAAAGTATAAAAGCCACGTGATAATGAAAAGGAGATTAAATCGCGCAATTGTAAATATATTGTTCATCAATTAGCAGAAAGAATATCGTATAAAATGTTTTCTCTTTCTTTTTGAGCCATTTTCCGTTGTAAAGATGAATTATGGTATAGATATCTTTTAAGTTAAATAGTTTAAAGAAATGATCCAATTTACACTCAGCCATATATTATATGTAAAAATTTTTACGTAAAAATTTCTTATAACAAATAAAACGTGAATATAACGTAAATATAACATTAATTAATAATAAGTATATCATCAATGAAATTAATTGTTACGCCAATAATAATAAAATTGTATGAAAAATGAGTGTTAAAACTAATATCGTAAATATTCTTCCGACAGAGTTCCGACAACATATATCAATTTTATCTACTATATTCCGCCAGTAGATATAATCACATATCTCGATCACCCTTTGTCTTCTGTCAAACGTGAAGATTATATATAGTATTTATCTGTACTCACGTTCCGTTGTCGGCGAGCGCGGGCTGCGGCCAAGCACGTGGCACAGGTTCCTCCTTCAGTATCTGCCTCATATCTTGAGGCGCGAAAACCAACGGTGCTCGCGGATGATGATGAGGCGGCGGGGGTGGTGGTGCCACACTCGCGCTGTACAGCTTACGTCCCCAGTGGCTTTCGAGCTCGACGGGACTTCCGCCTCCTGTGGTAGCCCCAGTACCACCCCCTCCGAGTCCGAGCCATGGTGACCCCCCAGCACCCACGATTGTGGAGCTGGGCAGGAGACTGCTCCACTCGTCGGACCGCGTGGTGAGGCCGTACGGACTCTCTTGGGGCAACAGGCTTCCTCCTTCGCGTTGCCAATCTTTGCAGAAATCTTCGTCACCCCCTCGATCACCCCTTCGCGTCCCCGCGAGAGACTCCACCGGTCGTCTCTCCGTCAGAGCGGGTACGTCCGGTACCACGTTTCTTTAATAACGCGCATGAATCATTATCACTGGAACGTTAGCGGCCGGCAGCCCGTGGCGGTGCATGACCGTCCGCTCACCACTGACGGTGTCGCGTCTTTCCGAACCGCACCGTCAAGCCGGGCGCACCGACCGCGTGCCGGTGCACATGCGTCCGAACGTGCGTGCCACGAGTTCGCGATACGAGCGCGCACTAAGGACCACGTTGGTGTCTCACAATGCACTGTTCTCACTTGCTCGCGCAGGATACTGTCCCTTGTCCTTTGTCGGTCCGCGTCGCGGATCTTTATCACTGATGTATCACTCTCTATGCAACGCGTCGTACGTTCATAGACCTCGTGAAGGATGTCATCGGCCGTCTCTTGAACGTTTTTCCAAAAAATGCCCTTCTTCGAAATTCTCCTACTACAATTCTTGTACTAGATGATGATGTTTGAGACACGAACGTGTATAGCGATGGTAATCTGAGCACTTGCCGGCAGCACCCTGGCGTATTATCGTCGCCGCCAAAACGTTGCAAACGTGTCTCGTGACTAGCGGAGAGGTCCTTCGAGGTCCCCAGTCGCACGTTGCTTCCCGTTACGGTGCCGCTTGTCGAATGTGTCAGGGCCGGCACTAGCGGCGTGCCAGCAGGTCCCAGTGGGGTCGGGTCTGGAGAATCGTAGTGGGCGCGGCTACGAGTGATACCGCGCATCGACCAGCCCGTCTGGATGGTCTTGCCCATTTTGTACCGTGCACCAATCCACTGCGAGCCGCACGACCAATGGATGAAGCTACCCGTACCCATATCGACGCCCATCTGGGACACCAAAGACTGTGGCGCCGTGGCGGCAACATCAAGAGACTGTCATTCCGGCGCGAGCCGCACACGAATGAGGTCCGTGCTGTGATGCTCCTTTCCTTCGAGTAAAAGTTCAAGTAATGATTAACTTAATTTGTAACATTACTACTTCTGTTTCAGTCTAGGACTATATTTCAAGACTAATAAATAATCGGTGCAAAATTTGTTTGAACTGGAAATTGAATAAATTCACAAAAAATGTTATTAGGCACGAAAATCCGCTTTACCAAATATGATATTTTCTACTCATTTGTACTTAAAGCAATAAATATATAAAACAAATTTAGATGTGTAAACGTGGTTGAAATTAAAAAACACAAAGTTTTGTTTGAAAGGCATAAACCACAAACGCAAGGTGTCAGTAGCGATTATTATAAATTTATGTTTGATACAAATAATAAACGTTTCGGTCTTACATTAGACCATCTTCAGTATTACAAAAATTATACTTAACTATTCTATACTTTATCAAATTACAATCTTGTATAAAAAGACTCGAATAGTTTTTGGAAGAATAGTTTTTGGAATTTGCAATGTAACACAGGTAAAAATTATAATTTAGACGAGTTCAATAAGATATAGAATATTTTTTAATAGACTTGATATTTACCAGAAATTGGCAATTTGTGTTCCTTGTAATAATTAAAAACAAATGGACGAGAACCGACTGAGAATAGCAATAAACAGAATACACAGGTAGTAAATTAATCATGCTAACCAAATATTAATTGCCAGAATGTTCTTATTAAATTATGTTAATTAAATATCAATTGTTCAAATTTTAGAATCATGTAATTTTGTATGTAACAAGGAAAATGTGGAAATACATGACTAAAAGTAAAAATCAAGTTATTTAGATCATAAGACGAAATAAATTTGGACTACACATTTTTTGATAAATTAGCTACAGAGAATAAATTAGTTTTAACGAGCGTGTTAGCGTTATGTTGTTTAAATATAGTTAGGTTGAGTCTTTTTATACAAGATTGTAATTTGATAAAGTATAGAATAGTTAAGTATAATTTTTGTAATACTGAAGATGGTCTAATGTAAGATCGAAACGTTTATTATTTGTATCAATCATAAATTTATAATAATCGCTACTGACATCTTTGTGGTTTATGCCTTTCAAACAAAAATATATAAAAACTATTGCAAAAGTTAAACTTCTTTTTTTTTAAATAAGTACCTTTTAGAATTCTATTATTTTAATCTTAAAATATGCCATTTATTTTTGTTAAATTTTTATAAAAAGTAAATATTCCACATAAATAATAATACTTCAATAGATTCCAACATACTAATAGACGAAGTATATTAAGATTCGAATTAGATATTTTTTGTGTCTCTATTTTTAAATTCACGCAAGAGTTTTACTTTAATCCGATAATATCCACCAATGAGATATGTATCGAAATACATTTCACTCTACTCCAGACTATACTCCCATTTAACTGTTGCAGTTTTTATTAAGATGGTTTAGGAAAGAACAAATTTCTGTGATTCTTTTTTCCGATATCTACAGAATCCCGAATGTATCAAACAGATTTCTTCATCACTTCTTCAATCGATTGTTTAGCTGCTAATAGATTGATTTTTGTGAATACAAATTAGTCAAACCAAATCGTATCTCATATATTATTTTCATATTTTATTTATCATAGTAAAATCTTTTTATTTATTTTTAGTTTGATTAAATTCTAATTGTTTTCATATTTCTTTTAAAAGAATTGCAAATATTTATCATTATTTATTTTTATATCTAAAAAAACTTCTTAACAAATATATTCTGTCAAAATATAAACACAGAAAGGGCTAATGAGAGTTTTTTCGCGATAAGTCGTGTGAGAAAGAAATTTATTGAAATTCGATGAAATCAGACGTTTCAGCTTACATTCAAGCCATATATCTTCAGTGTATCTGATTATTATACAAAGTAGAAACCTTACATGGCTAGATGAAGGAGTGACAAATCACTCCATCTCCATTCATTATGGCACCGAATCAAGGTTGGCAACGAATCCAAGATGGGTTCCGTCAAATCATGAACGTTATAATTACAAATTGAAATAATTCCGCTGGGTCCATATTCTTACTTAAAATCATGATATACTAATCGAGCATGACAACGGTCAACAATCGAATCTAATATATTCTGGATAACAAATGTTGAATCATCAATGCAAAACATTTTATATGTTTTTTTTAATGTTTGTAAGTTTATTACAGTTTATATTTTACTTGGTTTTATTTTATTTTAGAAAAAAATAAGCTTATCGTCAAATTACAAGATTCGGATAAGGAACAAAAACGTTAAGTGTTGCTAGGTAATCGAGTGTATAAATCTTAGGTCAAGTGGCAGTTGGGTCGAAAAAGTAATTATAGAATTTGTTTGAATAAATTTATGTGATGGAGGGAATAAAGGCAATCGCGAAGTTAAAAGGGAAAGAAGAGAAAGAAGAGACCTGCAGTGTTTCACAATCTTCTTACTAATGTAAGACTGCAAAGAAAATCTATTCTTCTCGTGATTTTGTTCAAACAATGTACGTCGGAGAGCCACTGCTTCAAGGGTATGGGGCCTATCAAGTGGAGATAATGTGTTCTGTGCCGGGTAATTTGGCCTTCCTCCCTTCTTTCCACTTCAACCGTCTTGAATCTACTTCTTTGACTGTTTTGCATTTGCAAGCATTTCTGTTGTTGCTAACAGTCGTGCTATCAATTAAAATTGATCGTAGGCGATCCAATAATACACTACATGTTACGTTATGAAATATATCTACATATTTTTATATTTGCGTTTGAAGAAATATTGGCATTCAAACTGAACTGAAATATCTATCTATTTGTTGGTGCTCGTTACAAAATCAAGTAATGAATAAGCGCTGAAATTACTTAACATACACCCATCGTATACAAAGTGTCAAGGGTCGCCGATTAATGTTTATCACATGGCAAGATAATGAAACTTAATGAGGGTCTGCAGGCGTCATTACGAAACACTCGACATACGCGCGTGCCAAACCGGTTTCAATCTCCTTTTTTCTGAAGCTCGTCTTCTCTTTCAGTGTCGTGATTCATGAGATCCCTCTCAGCTGCCCAACGGCCTGTAACATTGCCACCTTATGGCAATGACGCGGCTCCGAGAGTATGAGAAGCTATTTAGAAATGGAGGTGCTACTTTTTGCTATGTTATGCTTCGATCCTTAAAAAGAAAGGTTGTTTCAGTTTGCAAAAACAAAATGTTTTGAGAGAGTGGTCTGTTGAAGTTAAATCCACAAAATTTCTCTAAATAAAACCGTTCTTTATGCTTTATAAAAACTTATTATCTCAAGTTTATTTATTATCTAGTAACATGACAAAAATAGTAATAAGAAAAACTACATATTAAGTAATAAATACTTTAATAAATTTTATGTAAAGACATTCCTCTTAAATATTCCAGTAATCCAATAGCGGGCGGTGTCGACGTACCTAAATGTCCCAATGATGTCAAATGAGCATCACCGCACCGACCAAATCCAATTACCAATTGGGAGGGTCGTACAACTCAGTATTACTATGGTTTGCGTAGGTACACACTCTGCACTAGAGTTAGCTTACCTTTTAAGCTTATTATTAGGCTATGATAATATTTTTTTGTTTGTTTCGTAGAACTCGCCCCTACAATAGGGTAGCTTAAGGGATCGCGACTGCGAATGAAACTGTCAAACGAATTTTCGACTTATTGTTAGTTATCTAGCTCTGTAGTCAGAGTATGGATAAATAAGATAATCTTCACTAATGCATTAAAATTGTTGATTAACAGAAAAAATATTGCATAATCAAAATTGTCGATTTAAGAAATTGAGACCTGTAATATATATATGGCTCTCT